TGTTTTCATACTATTTCTGAATGCCCTTGCTTTTTTCTGGTTGTGATGATCTTATAATATATATTATGAGAGTGTTGTTAATCTCTGGCCTTAGGCGTATATGACTCTTGACAACTTATTTTCCTTCACCTTTAAAAATTATGATTCTGTCATTACAGGATGTCTGAAAAAATGGGGATAAAAAGTCCCATAATATCCAGTCACCAACATAGTTTTACTTTCTTTTCTTTGTACTTACTCCACAATTATTTATTAACGATACCTGACACGCTAGGTATTTTTCTAATTGCTGGCAATAAAAAGAAATACAAATAGACTTTCTAAACTTTTTCACTTGATCTTTCTCTTTTAAAATTTCACTGATATTCTCTTTCAATTATTTGAATTGTATTGCTAAAACTCTATTAATTTAATCGAATACAAAAAACAAACTTTTCACGTATAGCCAGCTACAGTTGAATTTTCTACCCATGTCTTAATGAGCAAGTTCAAGTGTATGCTGTTTATACTGTTTTGCAGACATTTCTGCATCACAATCCCTTCTCAAGTTCAACATATACTCTATAATCCTGTGTCAAAACTAACAATCTCATTTTAACTAGGTCTCAAGGGCTCTACTTCACCTTTATTCTGTTTAATTTCCTTACTAAGGAAATTACTAAGCCCATCTATTTCTCAAAACTCTGTGAACTGACTGGCAGTTTAATGTCCAAACAACACTATAATAGTGAATGTTGCTTTTCTTTGCTTCAAATTGTGCACATCAAAACTGATCACTTATATGGGGGAATGAAGACACATTATTCATGCCACCTCCTTCAAATCTGGAGACCTTTACATTTCCCTCATTAAATTCTCATACACAATTTCTCTATTTTTGATAATAAAATCTCTGATCCGGGTCAATGTTATCTCTTAGTTGGAATTTTTTTGTTCCCTAATGACCTCTAGAGAGAGATTTTCACTGTAAGATAATGCTGGCATCAATTCATTAATTCTTCAAGAAAAAAAAAAAGAGAGAAAAGGCAAAAGTTAAACTTTTAATGTCTTGATTTTTTTTAGTGTCTTGTTTTAAGCCTATAAGACCCAATATTCTATAAGGGTAAATCATTCCTAAAGTATTGTGGCAATGAAGTGCATGGTATGGGCAAGTTTGGATGGAGACAGAAAAGTTCATTATTAACATAATGTCCTTAGGAGAAGGTAAAATGATGAACCCTCTTTTACAAGGCCATCTAGTAATCATGCAATTACAGAGCTCATTCTTTTTATTGCACTTATTCCTCATCCCAAACTGTGGAGTCTGGTGACATTGGAAGTGTTGAATGGTGTAACTGTTAAGTGGTAATAACATTAAGAAATTCAATCTGGTACATAAAAATGGGGGGGGGGTAAGGAAAGCATCATGACACACATTCTCTCTAAAGAAATGACATGCCTGGGTAATGGCATGTATTAGTTTTATGAGACAGTCTCTTGCCCTATGAAGTGCAGGGTTTTAGTGTGCAGAATGACAGATGTTGTCATGTATTAAGTATGGTACAGCTGAAGCAGTCAATGCTGCCATTTTGTGTTGCACTGGCCATACATTTATTTATATTGTAACAATTTCTGTGTCCACAACTAAAGGACCTTATAGAAGATTCAGCATAGATATATAAACCAACTAAAGGATTGAAAATGAGCTATAGAAGGGAAAACGTAAGGAAATATGCAAATTTGGTCTAGACATGTATACTAATGTTTTCATATGTCCATTTAGACTTTTATATTTCCACTAAAGAAAAAAAAAACATTGTATTGGAAATGGGTTGCAGCAATAGAGATTTAGGTTAGCTAAGGGAAAGAATGTCTGGGTACATGAGATTCTTAAACTAATTCCAATATGTGGGGGGGGGGCTATTATAAATGGATGCTAAAAATGAGGAGTGGTAGTAAATTCTCCTCTGAATGTCACTGGTTATGCAGTGTTTATTATGATACCATTTGAATACAAGGATATGTATCAGAGAAGCTCCTTTCTAGGAACATCAATTTGTTTGTTTTAAAGATTTATTTATTTATTTATTTATTTATACAAGCACTGGGTATAGTCAGAAGCATGGGAGGGCAAGAGAATTCACCAGAGCCAGAGTGGGGAACAGAACTGGCAGAGTGATGAAATACACTGCTGAGGGGAGCAGCGGGCATGGCAGGAGAGGTCTGTCGTGCCATGTGGGACCCTCGCCGGTGGCCAGGGATTGAACCGGCGCTGCAGAACCAGCGGGCAGCTTCGCAGCCCAGTGCTCAACTGCTGTGCCACCAGGGGAGGCCTGGAACATCAGTTTTTTTTTAAGAGACATCAGTTTAAATTAATATACTTCTTAGCATATGGAATTTTTTTTTTTTTTTTTTGTGGGACCCTCCTCTGCGGCTGGGGAACGAACTGTCACTGCAGTGGCTGCGGGCAGCGTCGCAGCTCAGCGCTCAACCGCTGCGCCAACAGGGGAGGCCTATATGGATTGTTTTTTATTGGCATAATCATTAAATGTAACTAAATAGTCACAAAATAAGTTACTCCATTAAAGTATTCATTGAAGGTATGTTAAATTTTTTTTAAGAAAATGTTTGCATTTGAAAAAAAATTCACTACTTAGTAAATTTTACACTTTTTTTTAAACCATGATTTTTCCCACACTATAACATGGTTGTTAGCTTAAAGTCCCCCCCCCCTTTTTTCAAAGAAGCATTCCAATATTCTATCTAAAAGTAGCCTTCTACTAGACATGAACACACTTCATGAAGCATAGTTATTATCTGAGATCAAGGAAACGTGGTATAAATATGTCTGAATTATGAACAGATATCACGGTTCTACTGTCATCTCTTCTACTAGCTAGAGGTGTGGCCTTGGTCAGGTCACTTTTAAATGTCATTCCTCAGTTCCTTTATTAGTAACTTTAGGACAGTGTTAGAAGTGACCAATTATGTTCTTTTCTTCCTTGAAATTCTATTCTGGGATTCTATAAAATCATAATTTAAATAAGCCAGTATTTTTACCATACTTAAAAACAGATTATTTTGACACATTTCAAAGTATTAACAAGAAAAGTTGCTAGTGACTAGTTAAAATTTATTAATATGTTATTCTAGCAGAGCATTGTAGAAAAAGTTAGCTAATATAGTCAATGATCACCTTGTTCTATGCACAGGATCAGAATTAAATCACTTGATTTCGTGTGCTTGAACTGTCAAAATAACTATCCACCTTTCATTTAGTGTTCACCTAATAGATTTGGAAACATGTATGGATAGTTTTCCCCTACATATACTATGCTACATTATCTATAAAATAATTATTTTATTCTAAATAATCAGAAATACAAAAAAGCATGTAATATATTATAAATGTATGCTTTTCAATCAGCAAATTCCTGTCCTTACATATTGCACATTAAACACTTAAAGTACCTTTAAGAGACTGTAGCCCACTGAAAATCTAATTTTATGATTACATGAATTATGAATCTATGATCAGTTTTACAGATGATTGTAGTGATTTCTCCTTACCTTGACATAGTGATGTCATTGAGAGTTATTTCAATTAATCAAAAATGCAAATAGTAGGACTAGATCAGTAAGTTGAGAAAAGTTAATATAAACTATATCTAATTCTGACATTTAAATTTTTGAAAATGAGGCTAAATACTATATAGGCTAGAAATAACTTCTGTAATGTCATGTGTTTACTTCTTTAAAAAAGGAAACATTTAAACTGTACTTTAGCAATTTGACGTGTGCTTCAAATTAGTTTGGGAAATAATGAATAATTCAATATTCATATTTTAAATAAAACTCCAAATGTTCTTTGTAGATTCATTACGAAGCAAAGTCACTGTAGCAATAGCTACTCTCCTTGCCGGCAGAAGGAGAGATAAAAAGAATTCATTTACATCTCACACTTAAGTGTGAGAATATGATTTGTTTCACACTGTGACATGTAATAGGAAAAATGGTCCTATAGTTTAATTCATAAGTAAGTTAAGCATAAAAAGGCATCAAAATAAAATCTTAGTTTACAGAGGGAAAGAGTAAAATTTCTGTGGAGCCTAATTTAGAATTGACATTTTGCTAAAACAATTTGACTCACAGTTTTCTACATACTAAACATTTTCCACTTCTGATTTCATGTTTTAGTTTTAAAACCAAGGAAATCACCATTCGGTGCAAGATGCTAACATTTACCTCAGTTTTTCTGCCTCTTCAAAGATTGCTTCAAAGTATAAAGATAGATAGTCCATAGGTCTTACCTAGATAAGGAGCAGCTGAACCGCCAAGGCGTAACATTGTTCAACACTCAGCTAGGAAAGATCCGTCCCCGTTACTTTCTCCAAAATATAAGTTCACATTTCGTGGTTGAGATCATGGCTCTATTCTAAGCAGTTTTACACAGCGTGTGACTCTAACAAAAACACCCTCCGCAGCTGGAGGGAGCCTTAGCTAAAGCGGGAGTCTGTCAAGGCTTTCCTAGTGACTTCTGTCTACTAAATTCAGACTGATGTTTTGTGAAAGGGGCCTCCACAAGCAGGCCCACATTGCCTGGGAAGTATTTCCTGCCTCTGAGAAGTGTGCATGTGAGAAAGACTCACGAAGCAGAGGGGAGGGGGAGAGAGCAGAGCCCGTCTGGGCGTTTCAGGAGTTTTGATTTTACACAGAACTGAAGTGAGTTTGTCAAAGCTCTTGAGGTGATTAGCTGGGGAGTCATAAAGTCCTAGAGCTTTTTCTATCCCACTCTGCTTATGAAAAAAAAAGGAAAGAAAGAAAACAGTTCTCTCCCTCATCTATAACTTTTTCAATATATTACATATATATGTATGCATGCATATATGTATCTATATACAGACACAACTTAATCAAAATACTTCTACACTTCTTTCAAAAGATCATGTAAGAGAGCATGACAAATTTCGTTTTAATACTGCAATTCTTCTAAATTTGAAACTTTTTTACATACTACTTACAATTTTAAGTGCTGCAGTCTTAAATTTTCTCTTGAGAAGATCTGCAAGTAAAAGCCCAAGAATCTAGCAAACAGTGCTTTCCTCAAAATCTCTCCGATTCCAAGAGGGCTTCGCAGAATCAAAGTAGTTTGTATTGTGTCCTACGCAGCATTACCTTCAGTCAGAATCCTCCAGTTACAAAAATCCAGTGCTGGAAAAGCAGAAGACAGACTCCATCTTGATCCTATTACAGTCTTGCTGACATTAACCACTTGCAACTGCTTCCATCGAGCATGACAGAGTCCCTGAATCACGTCTCTAAAGCAGCTCACAGTATCTGCATCCTTTGCCCGACACAAATTTTGTGAACTATCATCTGTTTATCTTTTCTGCTTTCTTGTGCCTCCACTGAATGACTTCCTCTTTGCTGCTCCAGGCTGGGAACTTGGACTACCATTTGGTTTTGATTAAAACCAGACAGCCAACTCTGGAGAATTTAGGGAATAAGCTAATGGAAACTGCAAGTATGGCTTTAATTAGTGCATCAATTAATAATAGATGTTAGCTTGTCTTATAATAAGATGACACAAATATAAACGCAGAGGAAGCTCAAGTGGCTTCAGGAAAGAAGTTTTACCAATTCTCATTCCTTTATGACCCACAATTCTCCTTAGGGAAAGTGGGAGGAAAGAAAGGGGATGTGGTCTTGGGACATCCAGGTTGTGGAGAGGCCAGTGAAGTGGCCTCCTTGTTTATACCACAGAAACAGGAAACTGCATCTCTGAGTTTAATTATCTTGCTTGGTTGAAACTGCTCAGTAATGTCTCCCTTCCACCTTATTTACAATTAGTGGATTCTGCTGCTATTTCTGACTCAAGCATTTTTTCAGTCATTAGTGATTGGATTATTCTGATTATTGGGTCTATGTGTGGCTTGTAAATTTCTATATATTTCTAATAAGGGAGTCACAAGAAAATTCCAATTGCAACATGATAAATAGCATATATTTGAGAAATATTAAAACTGTTAACCCTAAAATCCATCCAGTATGTCTCTGCAATTATAAACAGGTTTCATTATTCACTTTTATTCTCAGTTAGCTCTAATTTTTATAAGGTCTGACAGATAACCTCCATATCTCGATGGCCATCATTTTAGTACTCTCTGAGAATAGCAGATAGGTAATATCTCTGAGAATTCTCATGCTATAGCTGCTTTTTTTTCTTATTGGAAGTTAATATTAACTCAAAGCATGACTGATGAATGGCAATAATGACTTACATGACACATGAATTTGAAGATGAGAAGCACTCAAACAACATGCATGCAGTAGCATTTTTTAAACATTTACATGGAAGCATTACTGATTTAGAAAGTAACATTTAAGTAATTTAAACTTCACCCCCATGACAAGAGGGAAGCTCATATTTTCATCAATTCTTCAAAGAATTATTTGGTTATATTCTAAAGTATATTCAAATCAAAATTTCCACTGAAATTATGCCCATTTGATCTTGCCAACAATCTTATGTGTATTCTTATTTTTTTTTACAGCTAGAGTATTCAAAATTTATGGAAGTAATTTTCTCACAATCAAGTGATTGAAGGTGGTCAAATCCACACCGAAACACACATTTTCTAACTCTAAATTTTGTGCTTGTTCCCTCCTTGTGAGAGTTCAACTGCCTCTCTTGACTCCCACTTAATTGCTGTGTGAAATTGGGAAGACTTCTTATATTCTCTGAGTTTCAGATTCCTCCTTAAAAATAGGAATAATTTCACATAACTCACAGATTTGAGAGCAGGATTAGTTTTATATGCACATATATTTATAAAGCTGTGTTTATTTCCCTTAGGAAAACACTGGAGCAGAATGGAATGGTAATTGATGTAAGTTCTTTCCTAAAATAACTGTGTATCTCTATCTCTATCTCTGCCTCTAGTCCTGTGTATAGTGGGCACTCAATAAATATTAGTACTTCGCTAATTTTTTTTGCTAGATTTTCCTCAAGAATGTCATAATTCGCCCCTTCTCATATAATTTGGCCTTGTTTCTGTTAATATTTGCCCAAGGAAACAACAAAATCCTATTCAAACACATTTATTAGTTATCAAGACACTCTTATTAGTAATTTTCTTTCAAGTACTCTGTTCTCTAAACAAATATAACTTTATGTTTAATTCTATTATTAGGATTAATTTCCAAATCTTTAATCACTCTTCTTTATTTTTCATTTTTCAGTTGCCAGACTCCAAACACATGTCATCACTCACATTCTCATAAAGGCTTTACCAAATATGAGTATAAATATAAATATGGACAACTTCTTAAATGTCTAACATAGGGTTTACTTTTATTTTTTATTTTTAGAATAAGAGAGTAGAATGAGGATTAAAGTTATTGCAAAGGACAACCAGCAAAATGGTGGCAAAGTGAAGACACCAGGATTGCCTTTTTCATGTATTACAGTTAGACTACAGCAGAACAAGCTAAAAACCTTTGAAGATGTAATGTAGGACTACAGCACACAACAGGAACAACAGTCTGCTGGAAAGGGGTGCAGAAGTAACAGTCTGAAAGTCTATCCCTATTGCAACATATAAAGACCAAAAATGAAGAGAGAAAAACAAACCATAATGCAGAACATGATTGAAGAGGCAGTCAAGGTAATATTCTAACCATGCTTCCGGAGCTCAAAATGTTACTGTGAAGATCAAATTTCTTCCCATCTACTATGGTCTAAATAATAAACATCAACTAAGATTGTCTAGTCATTCTCCAGTCATCTTCAGGAAATTTGAACCTGGACATCTACAGAATTATTCAGTGACTTTAACATGGTCCAACAATCTCTTGATGGTATAAAGATGTATTTTTTTAGAACAGTGTTTCACTCTTTTTGATTGAACAACAAAAATCATTAATTTAACACATTAAATTTATGATTTTGTGAGTGAAAATGGCTTTTATTGTTTCTGTTTCTACAGAGGGAGCATATTATAATAGTAATTAACTTAAAATTAATATATAAAGGGAATGTATGCCTTAGAACACTTTAGCAGTGTCTGCACAGTAGTTAGGGCAGTAAATGTAGGTGTACCCTATCTATGAAAAGTGATCTAAAAATCTTTAACATAATTGCTTGCAATTTTTTTAGAATTAAGACATGTGTGTCAAACCAATAAGACATGTATTTGATAGGATTCCTAGTTAATTTTTTTCAGTAATTTTTACATGGATTTTTCTTCAAATTGGGTACATTTGATAGATACACACCCATGTAAGGAAAAATACAATTTTGTACTTTGTATTGAATGATTTACACACACATTATTAGTTATTTGTTTGACTCTGTCAAACATTGACACCTCATTTGATGAAGTATTTAGTAGTCTTTCAGAGATATTTATTAAAGAAACACAATTTTGATGTTAAAATAATAAAAGACTCAAAATCATTTAAAACCTCCAAACCAACTGTACCTGTTTCTTAGATTATTATGTTCATTGTTACCCTTCACTAAAAAATATTAAAAACAATAACTATGAAAAAAGTATCCTGATAATTATCAAATAGTTTATAAAACATAAATATAGCAAGTAATAGCAAAAAACATTGCATTGTCATGGACACTAGAGTTTATAGTAATAGAAGCTGATGAAATCTTCCTACTTGTTCAACAGGTCAGTACTCTAAGATGCCTGGGGATTACAAGCCAAGCAAGACTCACTTTACAGATGTCTGGGTGTGCCAGTCAGAAGAGGGTGAGTTTCTTTCTAGTTACACAAAGATTTGTTCCACATGAAAATTTAAACATCTCCATGTGGCACACTTCAGCATCCTTTCAAAACATTATTCAGTGAAGTTTGCATTTCCTGGCAAAGAAATTTCCCTATTCAAAAAATGTTCCCACTTCACTTTAGACTTAGAGCTCATATTCTCTCTAGCATATCTCTCTCTCTCTCTCCCCCTCTCTCTCTAAGATTTATTTATTTATGAACACAAGATCTGGGGGCTAGGCCAGAGATGTGTGTGTGTGGGGGGGAGCGGTGAGAGGATTCACGAGAGACAGAGTGCGGAGCAGAACAGGGTAACTGACTGAAATACCATGCTGAGGGGAGCACTGGGCGAGACAGGAAAGGTCTGCTATGCCATGTAGGTCAGCTCCCTGGCCCGGGATCAAACTGGTGCTGCAGTGGCTGCCGACAGCTTCACAGTGCTGAGACCTAATCCCCGGTGCCACCAGCGAGACCCTCTCTAGCATTTCTTGCAGTTCTTTGATGAGTCCAAACACTGTCTCTCACCCTCTGTTCACCAGGGAAAAGAGGTGAAACGGTCTGTATTCAGACTCCTCTGTGCCAGGCCAAGTTCCTTCTCCTTGGTAAAGTCTTGCTACAACTAAATCACTGTCCTTTGAGTGTCATTCTACCTGACTCCTATCCCATATCCTGCTACAGAGTACACAGTGGCATCCCTGAGCCCACCACTGGAGGCAGGGGCAGGGATCATGAAATTTTACAAAGTCTTTGGTCCTTGAAGGAATAGCTTTTCAATTTATATTAAAATACAAATATACTTTTAATCTTTTCCCCTTTAAAACAGTACCATTTGAGAGGCTCAGTACATGCCACTGAAGGTACTTAGAATCCACCCACATATTCAAGTAACATTTATTATGCATTTACTATATTTATGGTACTGCTTTATGCACTTGGAATAAATCATTGCATACAAGTATACAAAACATGAAATAACTTTCCTTCAGGAGCTTAAATGGGGATAGGGCAGAATAGGAAGTTAAAAATTAAAATAAACATAATAAATAAGTAAATTATAGCATATGGGTAATTTACTAAGGAAAACAGAAAATGTAGAACAGAAACATGATAAAGAGTATGGGAAGTGAGGATTGTGGGACGATCATGAACAGAATTAAGTAAGAGATATCAGGGTCAGTGTCATTGAAGGACTTAGTAAAAGTCTTCAAAGAGTGAGGGAGATGGTCACAAAGATATCTGGGGTCAGAGTCCCTAGCAGAGAATACAGGCAGTGCAAATTCATAAGGAAGAGTGTACCTGGTAGTTTTCAAACATTGCAAGTGAATCTAAGTGGTTGGAATGGAAGGAGATTGAGGCAGAGAACTAGGAGATCGCTCTAAAAAGAAAGCTGGAATGAGCTACATAGTATCTTGTAAAGACTTCGGATTTGACTCTGAATGAAAAGGAGAGCCCTTGCAAGGTTTGAACAGCAGGTGACAAGGTCTGCTATGTATTTTAATCAGAAATTAAGGTCCAAAGCAGGGAGACCAGTCAGGAGGCCACTATGGTAAAATAGATGAAAGATAGGGTTATGGCTCAAATGCAAGTGACAAAGTTAGATTTTAACTTTTTCTTATCTTTTCTTTCTTTTATTTTTGTATTTAATATAAAAACGTACTTCCTGAAGAATTACATTTACTATGGAAGAAAAGAGGGCAAAAATGCTTCTTGAGCAACTCAAGTATGAACTTGACATAAGCTGAAAAAGAGAAGGCAAAGGGCAAGTAAGTTTTGCTTGGTGGAGAGCAAATTTTCATCTTGGACAAATTACTTTTTGAGATGTCTGTGAAATATTCCTAACAGATATGTTAGGGAAG